AAATCTCAGTTAATGACCACCATTTTACTGAGATTATATTTCATCCCATATCATCCCATCTCATTTCATTTCATCCCAGTTGATTAATGTCTCAAATTAATCATCTTCATTTCATTTCAAAGGTCTTAGTTACCAGGTCATAAAATCTTATAAAAAAAAGAGAGACTTGAACGTCAAGAAATTGTAGAATCTGAACTTGTGACCCATCTGTTATCAGGTACAGAGATAATAAATACTGCTCGGTCAGGACTGATTCAAAGATGCAATTAATATAAATGTCACGAATACAACATGACGAGGGCTTCTGTTTAATTTTATTGAAAGAAACATTTAGTTGTTTGCAAAATTGTTAGAGAAACTTATTCGAAGTAAATTTGTTATACGCTTTGCTAACAATGTTACGATTTGTTAAATTTATATTTAGGATATACTCTGTATTTTATAGAATCATTTGAACATCACGATCTTTTAGTTAGAAGATGTGTTATGACAAACGATCACAGACCTTAAAGCAGGCTCAATACAAGGCATATTTACATAGTGTGTTCCTACTTAAGCTTTCAATCGGAAGACATTTTAAGATCTTGAGCGATCTGTGTATGTAGAGCAATTGCGCTTTCTCTGAGTAATACAAAGAACTTTTTTTTTTAATTAGGTTATTTAGTCCAGAGAAGGTTTAAAATGTAGATAAATATGAGAATGCTCGGAATTAAATAAAAATAACAATTTTGTGTTCCTTTGATGTGTCCCCCGTCGGACGGATTCTTTTTGTTTGTTTTAAGTTTATTTTATACAAAAGTTTAGGACTTTTATTTGTCGATTGAGGCACTACGAAGTCTGCCGGGTCATCTAGTATTAAATAGATATTTGGTATTCCGGCCTGACTGCAGATATTAATTTTTGTTTTCCTATACTGAAAACACATGAGAGAGAGAGAGGGAGTGATCAATTGAAAAAAAAAATTTATTGTACAGACGGGTGAAGGCACTGACGGTCTGGTGGTTAATGTTTACCGGAACCCATGAATATGAGCCTTTAAGTCTATTCTCTCAATTGTACGGTAATTTCGCAAATTAGAATTTTGGCGGGTTTGATTTTTATTACACGATATTATTCCTTCATTGTGGTAAGCATTTGTGAGCGTGACTCAAGTACATATTTGTTTAGAAAATTTTGTCTCGGGGGTTTGAGCATCGGTATAATCACATCACTCAATATCTCCAGTACGACGGCCGTATTATCCTTTAGGGCGTGTAGCTTTTGCTCATATACGCGGTTCTAAGCTATTTAACTGACCGGTCACCGTCCTCGCCGAACTCGCCCATAGATACAGCCCACTGAGTTTCTCGCCGGATCTTCTCAGTGGGTCGCGTTTCCGATCCGGTGGTAGATTCTGCGAAGCACTGCTCTTGTTAGGGTCAGTGTTAGCAGCAATTCCGGTTTGAACCCTGTGAGCTCACCTACACGTTAAGGCGAAACTGTAATAGCCTCTCAAGGTTTGGGATACTTAACGACGGAGGGAAACTGGGGGTCACAAATTTGTAGGTATACCTACGACAAAGGGTAGATCTTCCACCGAGCGGGCGATATTTGCTCGGTAAACCGGCGGTCCGAATGTTGTTGTTCGGAACTTATATATATGCAAGCTAAACTTGAAAATGTCGTAAGCGAGATTAAGGCATCTGTCAAATATCTTGCGTTGTATGATGGCTACCGCCACAAAGGCTATCAGCATAGGTAGGAAAAAATAATTACAACAGAATGTCATGAAAATTTGCATAGTTTTTGTACCGTAAACGCACGATCAATAAATCGATGTTTTACACATAATTAGCGATATCAACATCGGTGTTGTCGCACTCGTGTGTACCAAATAAACAAATCAGGAATAACGGTGAATATTGATTTATTCCGGTGGCATTGTTTTGAGAATGCGTTTAAACTGTACTGTTAGAGTGCTGTAGTGTCACAGCTTGCATGCAAATGTAAAAGGTGTTGGTTTTTCCATTCCTTATGTTCGGAATGAAAAGCTTTCAGTGCAAAGACGACGTCCAGCAGGTCACGAGAAGCTGTATTTTTAATACGCTTTTATTAACTTCAGACATATGCATGTTTGTAACGGAATCTTTGAACATGATTTTGACCCCCTTCAAAACGTCGGATTAACTCGAAATTTGGTGTACCTACTTATTAAGAAGCAATGACAATTCAATATTAAAAAAATAAATAAAAAAATTGAAATTCAATTAAAAAATGAAAAATAAATAACAGTTTAAAAAAACTAACAAAATACGCTTTTATAGCAAATAAAATCGAAAAATGTAACGCTTCCGTTTTCTTACCACGGAAAAATTACAAATTTCAAACGCGTATGTACAAGCATTCTCGTTAATAATACGACTGCCTCCAGAACGTATCTCAAAGATAATCAAATTTATTAACACATAAAACAGATCGTCCACGACCAGGTTTGTTATGAAAGTTGATGTCTTGATCTATTTTCGGACGGCCCATGTAAATCAATTTCCCGGTTTACACATATTTTGATTGAGTTCCGCTATACAAAAAACATTAATTAAATATTTTTTTAAACGTGAATTTTCAATACATATTCTCTTTCAAGAAAACAAACATAAGCACGGTTTTCTCGATAAAGTAACCTTACAATGTATATTATGTACAATATAGTAAATAAACAATTCTTGCAATCGATTGAACATTGCTTGTTTAATATTTAATGAGAAAAATGACAGTTGCTAATAATGTAAATTGTCATTTATAACTTATTTAATAGTCGTGTACTTAACCCATTGGTCCATAACAAGGAGTTTAAACTGAAATTAATACAAATAAACCCAAAAGACTGTGTAGGGGTTAGCTGAGATATTTGCTTGGAGTCTTGTACGATATTTTGGTATTAGCACCTATATACCCAAAATGAGATAGGCAGTGGTATTGCTATTGTACACTAACAACAGCAATACCAAAGTAATAAAAATACTTAAAATGATCATTTGTCGAGCCTGTAATGATTTAGATAACATAAAATAATACGTAGAATTCACTTAAACAAGAAACGGGTATACAAATAACAAAATTATATTTTTTATTATGAAAAATATATGATTTTCTTAGCTTGTTACATTTTAATATTATTCCGCTTTCGTTAGGTAAACATAAATTACAATTGTAAACCAACCAACAATATGTATAAACAATATTTAGCACTAAACCATTATTTCGGCCATGATATAAAACTGTTTTGCAAGAGAACGTACATAATATAATCCAATAAGGAAAATAATTTTAAAATATTTTTAATGTGTTCAGTTTACGAATGCAGTACATGTGCGAAATAAAATACGACATGCACCAATACTTATGTATTCAAAGTCACAATCCACGTCACAGTGCCAAGTAACGTTGTGGCGTAAAATACCCAAAAGGTAAAAAGTAGAATCGTGTCTAAAAATAAAAAAAAATCCACATAATCTCCACATCACATTTATTCTAATCTACAGTACATGTCCGTTTTGTACTTTTCGTGTTCTTTATTCAACCCACGTTCTTTTTTTTTTATCTTGCAACATCGCTTGCTTATAAGATTTCCCTTTGACCTCTAAGTACTTTTACAAATCACGTTCGTATGTACAGAAATTTATTTGTAGGTTTACTCGGAAACGTGCTAATATTTAACCAAAGACGTTATGTAAACCTTCGTGGAGTTTTATTTTCATTTCTCGTCAGAAAGATATTCGATTTCGAAACATTTATTTTCTCAACACAAACTTAATATTCCACTTAAGTAATAATATCACTGTAGGTACCGATAACATGTTTTCACTTTATCCGTAATAACATTACTGGAAACAATCAAGTTTTTCGAGACGAAATCGTTCTAATTATTTTACACAGAGAATCTAATTAAACTGTTTTTTTTTTCGTTTCGCGCCAAAATACAATCAGGTTAAATTAAAGGCACACGTGAATACCTGATAGGACCAAAGAGGCTACTCATAAATGGCCAAGAACACTAGCTATGAGTTGTAATTCAACTATAGTGGTACATGCCCGATTTCGACTCCCAAAAATTGACACGTATGGTACAAACGCGAAAGTTTTCTAATTCGTTAATACACATTTTACACTAAATAATACTTATATATAAGATAAGATAATTAAGAGTTCTGGATTCAAATTCACACATACGTACCCTACCATAGACATCTAGTTAATCGTTTGGGTTGAATAAAGATTAGTTTAACAAGTGCACAGCCGTCATTAGACCTTTATTAAGTATTTTTAGTAAAAATAGTAGTAAAGCGTTAGTGCAGTGTTAGCTTGAATTAGTGTCTCTTCTCACACGAACATAAGGGCTTTGTTGTTCCGTCTTGAATCTCGAATCCAGAAAATGGGAATGTCGCAGACTTGGAATAGTATTTCGAGCTCTTCACAAAGAACTACAGAGAGAGACAGACAAGTGTCTGTGAGATCTTCAGTATTCCTCAACAAAGTTCCGAGCGAGAAGAGCGTTTTCCCAATTAGCAGTTGGTGCGAAATTAACAAACTCATATTTTACTTTGCCGTTCGTTTTTTAAACCCATCGTTTGTTTTTTAATGTTAGCAACATTTAGTTTTTTCGTAACGGCCATCATGTGGGAGATTTACAAAATGGCCGCCAATGCTAAAACTTGCAAAATCAAGCGTGCGCAACGTTGATCAAAGTAAAAAAATGTTATTTGGAAATCTCATATATAGACATACAATTTCTATGCTTTGGGTATTGATCATATTTCCACGCTGCGTATTTGATAATCGCGACTGTGATTTACGCTTTTTTCAACAGCAAAAGCATTAAATACTGTAAATGTATGGAATTGTGTCGTTGTTTTAGAATCGTGGGAATAGATATCAATACCATAGCGTAAAAAGTATGCCGTTGCGTAATACGGGAAAACTGAAGACAACAATAACAATTATTATTGTGACATATCAGTTACCTGATTCCTTAACATAGAGGGTGTTGTTATTGTGTAACCGGACGCGTAATAAGTCCCGTTTATTTTATAGAAGTCGCTCTGGAAAAAAGAAAGAAATGTTTGCATTCACTATTACTCAATTGTAGTCTTTAATTTCTACCCACCACCGAGTAAGCACGTGATAGCTTATGCCTATGTATAGGTATAGAGATATATAACACAAATAATGTTAGTAAATTAAGTAATAATATATTGATAGTTTATGCCTATGTATAGGTATAGAGATATATAACACAAATAATGTTAGTAAATTAAGTAATAATATATTTATAAATAATTGCAGTAAATACAATTTTAAATTAAAGCCAACGTTCGAGCGATGACAAACAAGTATGACGCATAGTTGTTTGTCACCGCCTACAAAAGCCCCTGCGCCGACCAATCTCGATTCATTCTCGGTTGAGACGTCGGGCGGTGCGGAGCTCTCTCTCTGGCTTGATACTGTGTATAAGTGTGGACATTGTGAATTAAAAGATAAGTATAATTATTACGTTATTAAATAAATATTATTATGTATGTAAAANGTAATAATATATTGATAGTTTATGCCTATGTATAGGTATAGAGATATATAACACAAATAATGTTAGTAAATTAAGTAATAATATATTTATAAATAATTGCAGTAAATACAATTTTAAATTAAAGCCAACGTTCGAGCGATGACAAACAAGTATGACGCATAGTTGTTTGTCACCGCCTACAAAAGCCCCTGCGCCGACCAATCTCGATTCATTCTCTGTTGAGACGTCGGGCGATGCGGAGCTCTCTCTGGCTTGATACTGTGTATAAGTGTGGACATTGTGAATTAAAAGATAAGTATAATTATTACGTTATTAAATAAATATTATTATGTATGTAAAATGTTTCTATTTGCCATTTATCATAAATAAATGAATATACAATGATTATTACATAATGGTATTATTATTACTCAATAGACAGATGTTCCTGATGAAGTAACTGTTTTGAACTATGCTTTAATATGCAATTCAACAAATATATAGTGTAGAATTGATAAATTGCTGATTTATAGGTTGATGTCAGTTTAGGTTGCTATTACACGCATCAAAATTGTGTTACACTAACTATTATAAACTTTTTAAACAACAGTTTTTTAGATGTTTTAGTTTTTTTTGTTTAAAGTTAAAAAAAATGGATTGATTATGTCCAAAAAAGTTTTTATTTATTTATCCAGTTTCCGGCCACAATATCAAAACTAATTGTTTCATTGAAAGCCTTCATCCTGTAATTTCATGATTTGAACAAAAGTTAATGTCAATATAGATAAAATAACACAAATTAAAATTGTCGTAAAAGGATGACAGCCCATCCATAAGTTATTACCTATATATTACACTGTTGTGTCATACAGATTTTATTGGCTTTTCAAACTGAATTCGTTTATGTCAAGTTACAGCTATATTTTCTACAATGTACATATATTGTGTTTTTTAAATGAAAAACAAAATGGATGATTTAACATACTTCTACTTTTTGGGAAATGAATTATGGACTTTTGAAAATTCCGTATGCATGTATTTAAATATTTTTTTTAAATTTTCATTTTTATTCACACGTTACGAAGACTGTGAATTATTATTATGGATAAAAAAATGTGAAATGCTCAAATTTTTAAGTCAATGCATTTGACATAATGAAGTAAAATCAATGTTTATTTATTCTCATACTTCAGTGGTATCTACTTTATTTTACTGACATTTTGACAAATGACGGCTACTTGATGATAAGATTATGTCAGCGATACACAGGACCCTGTAATCTTGAGTGTGGTCGAGAAAAATCCCAGTGACTTTATCAAAACGTCAAATGGTAAAGATAATTTTTGACAAAATAACGAATGTTTCCAAAATCCGCTATAGGGCGTAGGAGAATCGCTGCTGGAGCCAAAGTCAAACCTCTGTTGGATATTTAACATTTTGAGGCTGAGGTTTTTCACAATGTAAAGTGTTAACACAAAGGCCGGCTGACAGCGCGGTGCCGGTGGATGCGCCAATTTTTTTTTTAATGCCTTTGATTAATAAATCTTAGTACAAGTTTGGTAAAATTAATTGTATTTAAACCAAATCACCGAACATATTTGTTAAATTAACAAATGTGTTCTTATATGGTTGACTGGCGAGCGTTGTACTCTTTACTCGTGAAATATTCTAATTTTAGCAACGGCTTTTTGTTTATAAGACGTCACAATATGACACGTCGGTGACTTTTTGGTGCATCCATAAACAATTGATTGGCAAATAATTAGATAGTCACGAGGAATTAATTGAACATTCCCTATGATCAGGACGACTATTATTTTTTTTATTGGAAGAAAAAGCACAGATAATATTTTCAGTTGTATTAAGGCGAATGTGACATAGAGTTTATCAACATTAACTTATTAAAGATATTTCTTGAAGCATTAACCTCCAAATGCTCATTGCTAATCGTCGTACCTATTACTTGCTAATTGTAAAATTACAAGAACTTTTTTAAATTGTATCAATCAATCAATCAATAAACATTATTATGATGTATAAAGCGTAAGTAATTTTGTAATAATTGTGCCATTTGTGAATAATTATTGAGCAACGAGGGTTTATTGGCTTAAATAATTTCATTGAACATCCAAACCAGTTCCAGTTTGATAAATGCTAAAAATAAAAAAATTTGATAAATCCATTGTATTTTGATATTTAATAAAATTACTATAACTCACCTCCTGATAAAATACCCTCTTCGAGTTGTATGTGAGGTTGTACTGTTGATCCGCCACCATCAGCAGAATGGTAAAGGGCAGTAAAAACGCTGCAGCAGCTAAGAACGCGACGCACCTTCCCAAACGCATCATGCTGACGTTACGACGACCCATTGTCATGATTAAGAAATAACAAAAATCACTTCACTGTTCTATTGTATCTATGACTTTTTTTCATTGTATTTAATAATAATTTATCACTGTCGCTCGAGAATTTTTATATTTTTTTCTGTAAATATTTTGAAAGTCACATTATTCGATATAAAGCACACACACTAAGATTCGTTCGTAAGCGATCATCAAGAAGTACTATTAATTAACTTAGACATTTAGAAAAGACAATTTTATTGAAGTTATAGTTAAACGAATGTGAGCGCGGTAGTTTGTACACGGTTTTAAAATTAGCATCTCATTTTGTTTCGCAACAAATTTGAATGGCACATCCTTAAAAGTTAGCTTACATTTTTAGCGATGCATTGAAAAAGTTCAATGCATTTTTAAAGATCGCAACAAAACTTTTTTTTTTTTATTGCTTAGTAGGTGGACGAGCTCACAGCCCACCTGGTGTTAAGTGGTTACTGGAGCCCATAGACATCCACATCGTAAATGCGCCACCCACCTTGAGATATAAGTTCTAAGGTCTCGAGTATAGTTACAACGGCTGCCCCACCCTTCAAACCGAAACGCATTACTGCTTCACGGCAGAAACAGGCAGGGTGGTGGTGGTACCCACCCGCGCGGACTCACAAAAGGTCCTACCACCAGTAATTACGCAAATCATAATTTTGCGGGTTTGATTTTTATTACACGATGTTATTCCTTCACCGTGGAAGTCAATCGTGAATCGTTTATCTATGAGTTGGAATTATTTAGAACAAACGCACGTTTAAAATTCGCCAATTTTCTTGTAAAACATATTCGACGCTTGAAAGGCAAACGTGACTAAGCGACAATGCGTGAACTTTACAGTAGACTAATTTAAAGTTGAAATACCTGAAAACAAAATTTATTTTAACGAATCTAGCTGTAGTAGCTGTAGGATTGAAATTATTTTAATAGATCTATAAGTTTTTTTTTTTTTGCGCATCGAATATGGTTATTTCCTATCATTTATGTACAAAGCAGTTATTGTCGCTTAGTCACGTTTGCCTTTCAAGTGTCGATATAGTAACGTCAACAGACATTGTTTTTCTTGTAAATTTTAGTACTACATATTCTCGAAACACACTTGAAATTAAGCCACCCGCAAGCTAGCTAGGCGCTACGAGCTTCATGTTATCATTCAATTGCCGACTTTTTTGATTGCCCACTTGAATCGTATTCATGTTATATGCATTACGATTATCCGACGGTGATAACATGATTACTAACAAGATAAAAGTTTTATTAAGCGTTTTAATGAGAGTGATCGTTTCGTTAATACTGTTAATGAATACAACAATAACACAGATTAACGGATATTTCGATCAAAAAGTGCACATGTTTGCTTCGATCAATAATACTACTAATAGGCTATGATTGGACCATACTAATTTGAAATAAGACCACAAATTTATTCGTGGTCTTATTTTTCGGGCCGTTCTTGAAGCGCTTATCGGGTATCTAGTAGTATTATTGATCGAAGCATGTTTGAATGGGAAAATTGTCAAAATGAATTTTTGGACATGAAAAGTTTAAAGATTTTATCTTAACGAGAGTCTGGTATTTGTAGCGGTCTCCATTAAGTACTATTTATAGCAAGCAGTGCTTAAAGTTAATAAATCCCTTTACGATAAAAAATGAAGGACGTCTTGTTTATGGTACGTTTTTTTGTGGTTCTACTTTACATTGAAGTGTTTAATGTACTTAAAGAATCATTAGTGATAGTCGAATGTCAGTCGATTAATATTATGGATACTTTTTAAAATGGTTGCTAAATTTTAAGATCTACTTGAACCGAGGGCGGCCACTTTTGTTAAATGATGTGAAACTTCCAATTTATTGATAACTAGCTTTTGCCCGTGACTTCGTCCGCGTGGAATAGTTACTTTGACATAACGCTAAATTTTACCCCCCACTTCATTTACGTAGAAAGTGAGAATATTTTTGAATAGTATGATGTTAAGGAGCTATTTGAGGTACCCAAATCACGCTTTTTAGCCGTTCCTAAAAAGAGGAAGATATCAATTCGACCACAATTTTTTTATCTATGTATGTTCACCGATTTCTCGAGAAGGCTTGAACCGATTCTGATAATTCTTTTTTTTTTTTTTTGTTCGAAGTGAATGGTTTCCCGAATGGTCCTGTAATCATCAGGATCAGGATTTGATAGTGGGATCCTGGAGAAATCTAGAATAATCTACTACCTAAACTAAACCGAGTCAAGAACTCGAAATAAAACTTAATACATAATATAATATGATGCCAAAATAGTGTATAGTGTAGATAATACTGAGCAAGAAAGTTTTTTGATAATAACAACAACAATAAATAATAATAGATTAACCAAAACATGCACCGCCTTATCTATGTAAACATTTATAGTCCAAACGCTTAAAAAAATCATGTAAGCGATGTTTATTGGTCAAGTATAGATGCTTATCCAGAATGATCAAAAGATCGTCAGGGGTCAAAGTTTTGGGCATTAATCTGACAAGGTTAAAAACTGTAAGATAAGAGTTCGCACGGGTCGCGTTGCTACTACCGTGCTTAAAATGATTGCAAAGCATTCGTTTGTTCCAGTTTAAAAATACGAAAGAAACCATTAATAATTCGATTCAGAACTTCGATATCATGGTTCTAGTGTGGAAGCAATTTAACACAACACAATCAGAAGTGAGCTCGGCACTTTTATCAAACAAACAAAAATCGGACAGAAGACGATGAAGCAATTTGTTACATAGCATTCACCAATTTGATGATGTACCAACAAGCTTTATAGTTGTACCGATTTTTTAAATATTACTTCACGCTATAATAATAACAACTAAATTCGTTTGAGTTCTAAAATTAGACAGCGGATGTCGACCGTTGACTGCGACAATTTTCATTAAGGTCCATCATGTAATATTACAACTGTAAAAATTACCCATCAGCCTGTGGATAAATATACAGTACAACATTTAAATAATAGGTATGATCACATAATGATATAATTAATTTAATCATGGTCAATCTTTTTTGGCCCTTTTATTTATTTATGTACAAAGACAAGTGTAACATTACATAACAACACAGATTTTGCGAAAAAGATTTTTCAAGTTGTATTTTTAAGAAATTTAGCCGTGACTAGTAATTATAGTTGTAGCTATCATTATTAGAAGATATTTGTCAGAAACATGAATGGCGCTAACGAATTATTCGAGATAAGTTAGCATGATAAACAAGTTCGGTACAACGACATTCGGATCGTTGGTCTACCAAGTAACACCAACACTCGATGGATAAACTCTGAATCATTCCCCAAAACTTAAGTGTCAGCAATAAGATAGGGGTTTATGTCAAATTATGAAAAAGTTACATAATTATTTTGCTGTCAAAATTGTCAATTGTATTGTTCTGTACCATGTCGCTCCTACCGTAGCCTTCTTTGACTATTTTCGTCACTTTTGGGGCACTAATACGTATGTTGTTGTAACAAGATTTGTAAGTTGCGTCACTAGTACTTACATATAAGAAATCCATCATTACGACTTTCCGACTTTCCGACATTACGACTTTCGGAAAGTCGTGAAATGAAAGACAAGATTCCTTATTTGTTATATAAATAATGTGAATTGCGGTAGGTATGGTTCTTATGCTTACGGGCACTCCTGATTCTTGCTTCATCATAATATTTAACATAATACTTGCATGCATACATGCGTACTGGAAGCACCCGTGATCCCGTGTACACAAAAGCTTAGGTGTGCATCTCTTTACCACTCGCTTTATACAACTTCTATTATTCTTAAGATAAAAGTTTGTTTACCAGTTCCCAAACAAATAGAGTTTCTTTCAAATCTGTCTAATAGTTTCTGTGCAATACCCGAACGAACAAATGCACAGAAAAAGTCAGTTAGAATCAGATTAAGTAGACTTTAATACTACATCTATGGGATTTAATAATCATAATAATAATCATTTATTTCAGACCATCCTTTTGCCCATATATTAAAATACAATTTGGAGAAATTTTTGAAATTAAATTTTGGAAACTTTGGAAATTTGGAGTTTGTAAATTTATATACATCTTTAATGTACTGACTTTCCTGTTACAAACTAAAAGAGTGAGTTTTGTATTAAAGACTAGATTTTTTTTATCTATTTATAATCTCTCTAGGCTTATTTTAAAGCAACGGTGCTAGTAAATCCATACTTTTTTTATTCAATACTTCTTTTAAGTCGTATTCTTTTATCCACTAGAACCGAAAGTAAAGGTAAATTAACGCCATATTGATCTTTATTACAGCTCTTTCATTACGGCTTTCTCATTTTTTTCAGACTACCGACTTGAGATCGATTCGTCTTTTTTTCTTTGCAATATTTTAGTGAACGGGAATGTTTTAGGCCACAACGATTCTAACCAATAACACGGACACAACCCTAAAAAGCTAAACAAGCATAGTGAATCAACTAAAATATAGTTAGAATGTCATTATAAACGAAATCTTAATTTTTTTATTATTTAATACATATTATTACATCATTTACATCATATAAAATTGTAAACAAAATCGTTTCTTATGAATACAGTGCTCGATGACACCGAAGACCTTGTAACGTTTACAAGGTAATAATAAGAACAGCAAAGCAGCTCTTAGATCCGGTAGGTATTTATTATGTCTTGTTGATGTTACTATAATAGCACTACCAAAATTATTATAATACGCATAATATCTTTATAGTATTAACGTTTAGTATAGTGTAATATATAAATAGTATTTATATTTCTTTTTAGTGGTAAAAAATAAATTAAAATGAATAAAAATGACACAATTTAAATAAATTCGCTAAAAAATTGACTATTGTCAATTGAATGTAAGCTTGTCGCATTATTGTATGGCACAGATCAGTGAACGAGCTCACGGCCTACTTGGCTTAAAGTGGGTAGATCACAACGTGAATGGCGTCACCTATCTGGAGACATCAGATTGAAGTTTCAATTGTATGAAGTCTGCTCTACACGTCAAACCAAAATGGATGATTGCTTCGCGGGAGATACAGACAGGATGTTGTTACCTATTGATGCGGGATAACAAAACGCCCTAC